ATCATTTTTTATAGTGAAATTACTACTTTTTAATTCTAGCTCTTTATTTATTTCTGTAATAAAATGTTTAACTTTAGAATAAAGATTAATGAATATACTATCAGCATTATCTCTTCTAGATCTAATTTCTTTATACAAATTGTTAATCATATTAAAAGCAGTTAGATAGTTTAATGACGGAGATTAAAGAAATTTAGAAATAGGTGAGCTAATACTAAATATGTCCAGATAAATTGCTGCAGTCATAATCACATCAAACTTTGACCAATTTTGTAATAGAGTGCGAGCAGTGAATTTTGTTTTTGAATCAAATGTAGAGTGATTTGAAATTATTTCTAGCAAAAAATTTAAAAATGATAAAAATCTTGAATTTTTTATGTCAGTTTCATTAAATTTTATAATAGAGCTAACACTTTGTCTTTGCTCCACCAACGTGTAGCACCAATTAAATTTAATCTCCTAAGTTTATCATTACTTGTATAGGTTATACTCTATCTATACAGATCTATAGTAATCTAGCAAGACTCTTCAATGTTGTAAAATTTATTTTTAGGGCCAGTCCGACCCTGCTGTGGGTAATTTTGCAATAGAAAATTCACAATCGATTAATACTAATTTGCATTATACAATTGGCMAAATTCTTAAATTAAACATTGATTTTCCAATATTACAAAAATTCAAGTGAATCGAATTATTATTATTGTGTTTGTATGTAGTTAGATTATGATCTTCTGAATACGAATTATCTATGTTACTGACACTGTCTGTTACATATACTTKAACGATGGAGAATTAATGGCCGTGTAGCATCATCTTAAAAGATATTCTGATGGTTGATCCTCGACTTGGCAGTTAGCCCACTTCATCAGAAATCAATGAAATAGACAAATATTTTCCAATAACAGAAACCGGGAGGTTAGATAAGTATAATTAAGGATGTTTTTATCAAAACATATTTTAACCCAAGACATTAATTTATAATTACCTAGTTTAGTAAATATAATATTATATGTTTTTATTATACATAAGACTAAAACATATTATACATGTAAACGGTTTCTCTGCCATAGTCCATCGTATTTAAATCACTTGATTTTCTTAATCGGCTTTGTAATGTATAAGTACATTGTTACTAGTGACCTGTGGCCAGGACATTGAGCAAGAAAGATTAACGTCGTTAGTGCCACATTTCATGTGCATCCTCAACGTGTGATTTTTATGGAAAAAAAAAATAWTTACATTTGTTTGTGTTAATTGTCATTATTGCATGTTGTAATATAGATTTTCTATTTTAAATACACTGTGGTATAATTGGAATATATGTGTGTAAAAAWTAGGGCCAACAATTATATGCCCTAAAAATAACCAAAATATGCCCTTAAAAAATGCTGAAAAAAAGATTATTGAACCTATATTCTATTTTTAATTAATGATTTATTTGTTATGTATCTTACTCTATTAAAATAACTATTTGTTACAAACAAAAATGTCTAATGTTATTAATAAATATTTAAATAAAATGATAAGCATTTTAAATCTTATCCGACGTTATTGAATTGAACGATTAATGATTTTGTTTTCAAACAGCATTGAGAGCGTCGATTTTAACAAATTTTTGCAGCGTGAAAAAGAGCGTTCTGCTTCAACAGATCTGTACAAAGGCGCGTCTATAGTCTATACGAAGCAGCTTTTTCCGTGYGGAAAATACGAGTCCACACGGTGTGGCATTTAAATACTTAAAAAATAAGTAAGTACTGATGCCATGATTCCACGCGGCTTTCCGAAAATACGCCCACACACATTACACATGAGCAGGACTCGGAAGTTCTAGCAAATGCATATTTTATTGGTTGGTCTTAGAACATTCAGAGTAAGATACAAAATTGTTTCAAACTTCTCTAATGTCATATACGAAATTTTATTTTGTTAATTTTTGCATATTTGTGATTTTTAGTGCTATTTTGCTAATTTTGARTTTTAAGTGCTATTTACAAGCATATTTTATATAAAATGAAAATAAACTAAATTGTATTGAATAATGAATATGCTAACGAAAACAAACGTAGGTACATTTTAGTTACTATTGTCGATCGCACAGGTTCGTTTCCAATAATTTAGTTATTTTTAAAATTTTATCAAATGTACTGCAGTTATAAAATTCGTTCGAAGGTTCACAACAGAAAATGTTCCAGAGCCGGAAAAGTGCCTACTTCTCAAATATTTACTATATCATATTTTATATAAAACTTGTATAATTTAAAAAAGTCTAAAAATTAGTTTATAAAAMAATTTTAAATAAAAAATGTTTGTTAATGAAATTTTAATTTTAATATTTTCCAATTTTAAGTGCTATTCATAGCGCTTATTGTGGTGTTTTTAAGTGCATATTAAAGCGCTAAAAAATTACTTTATTAGTGCTATAACTTCCGAGCCCTGCACATGAGGCATAGACGAGCGGCACAAGTCGGGCGACTTTCCTTTGATCTGCACCGCCTAGTARGCCGATCGGAAATTTTGCCATCATGCGACATAAAAAAAAGCCGYGGAAAATGTATTTATGTATTCATACATACTCATGCCGCATTTTTGGTGTTACTAAAACAAAATTGCCGTAGTCTATATATTATATGAATGATGTTATTTTTACTTAATGTTTATAAATGTTAAAAGGTGTATTAACATTTTCTGAATACCATTTTAAAATAAGAGTTAACACAATAAAAAAAAATAGAGACAAATTAATTCCAATTATTAAATTCATTTTACTATGTGGTTACCAAGAAATTATTTTAAGAGGCAGTATGTAAGAGGCGGACCCTTCCCATAGAAATTTTCTAGCTACGGCCCACTCAGCCCAGTAGAATGTAGATAACATCTCGTTTTGACCATAAGACTAGCTGTTCGCTGACTTTGTTTATGAATACTGCAGTAAATTGTAATACATAATATCAAAAATCTAAACACATAAATAATCATACAGTACGTAAGTAAATACATAACAACTATAAACTACAAATTTTATAATTTGATTATTATTTTATATATTATTATAATTTATGCTGTAAGATCGTGATTCGTGAATTATTTATTTATTATAATATTCTATTGCTATGCAGTAAAGCAAAAATACAATTGCTAAAATTTGTTAATGATTATAATTTATAATAATTTAATAGAGTATATGCTCAAACACCGAAACGCTTCCATAATTACACACATACCTACAATCTACATAATATATATTAGCACCACGATGTAGAGAAGATATCTTCTCTTCATCGTGATATTAGGACATATCCATATAAGCTAGTATTAGTATATTTTTCATGGCGATCCTGCAGACCACTGATTTGCCTGCAGATAGAGCTAGCTTGCTAGCTATATACGATTCGCACTGTAATATAGGTACGATTGGTCGTACTACGAATAAGTCTGATGGAGTGGCCGGACAGCGGACACAAGTTAACCAAGAGATCATACTATACCTATAATGTCAGTAGWAGTCAGTGTCAGTTTTGGCTATAAGGGGTTAATAGGCGATCGCAAAATAATTTTTTAATATTGAGACACAGAGYCAATTAAACACAATTAATGATCATGTGTTCAATRCTATTTCTGAATATTGACAGGTCAACTAAAACAATTCTTAYTAAATTTATTTATTAGTGAAGTTAATTACTAACATTTTACAAATTTTCACACTGAATCTCTTGATGATGATTAATGATAGTGAGAGTGAACAGTGAACACGAATTACAAACCAAATCAGTTTGTAATAAAAGTTGAAATTGTGTATATTTATTCTTTTATTACAATTCGAGAGTTATAACTTCTCAAAAAAATATGTTTTATAACTCATTCATGGTTTGCATATTATTTATTTTAATTTTATCATTTAAACAATAGTCATGAGACTATTATGGGAGAGAAATTTTTCAAAACTAAATACACCTAATCAAAAGAAAAACATATTGAGAAATGAGAATGAGACCAACTCATCAAATTTAATAAAAAAAAACACTAACGTAAAAAATTAAAATGTATAATTTAGTTTTGTCTAATTTTATTTTATTTTTTCTGCGTCCTTGATCACGCTAAGCAGTCAAAATAATTAGAGATGTTACGAACTGTTCGATTTTCAAACCAAATACCTATAATAGTTTGGTTYGATAATCCAACTAGAAAAATAAAAAATAAATAATATATATTAAATTTTAATTAATTTTAAATAAAATAATATCTAATTTTTATTTTTTGAATGTTCGGCTCGAGTCCAATAAAAAGTTTGTAGGCATGGATCTGTTAGAGTTTTTTAATTTAAAAAAATTCCGGTTCGGATTCGATTTGACCTTAAATATTATGGTTCGTAAGCGTAGCATCTTTAGAAATAATGCTTCAATTAAACTTCAATATTTTTTCAGGTATAAAAATGAATCTAATTAGTGCATTCTTTCAAAAGTGCTGGGAATAAGAATAACAAAAAACAACAAATTAAGCCAATTAAGGAAAAACGGAGATTTTCAAGCAAAATCGGTTACCTATCGACAATATCGATTTTGGTTTTTAGTGTAACGACTAACGACGTAACGTACGTTGTGCGCATTTGTATTTTAAATCGTGCTAATAATATTATTGCTTAATATAGCCAATATAGGAGTCATATAATTCTTTAGTAGCTTAGCTATAATTAAACGTGTTAAGATATTTTAATTCGAGGTACAGTACTACAGTATAAAAATGTGGTTCCAACACTTCCGGCCTTATGAAGTTATGAAAATAAACAATAATAATTAATAATTGTTTAATTGTTTCTGAATTGAAWTGAACCTGAACGTGGCCTCTCATATTAAGTTGTTGTTATCTCGGCACGTCACCTAACTATCACACATGACATGATAACAATATTGACAAACAGTAACAGTATTACCACAGAACAATATGGTATTACAGTATATCAGTAATTATTGAAGTATATCAGTTATCAACACGAGACACAACGGTCTACGACAGCATAACAGCAGTTAAGTGTTAACATTTAGTCGAATACTCTGACGTTTTGTTTCAACAGTACCTAAGTGCTGATTTCTGCTCAAAAAGAGGTCCCTTCTGTGTACCACATAATATTCAGAAGACACCTATGTACCCAACGATTTTAAGTATCCATCGCCCCATCGGTACTAATTTTCACCGTTAGTTTGATCCGTTTTCCAGAATATTTCGTCCTTCATCAGACTCTTATCGGTCATGGATTTTTTAGAAAATCTGTCGCGTCGACTGGAGGACATCCGGCTGGATGGAACAAACGTGACAGCGGAATTCCCCTGTCCGCAGTCTGTCTTACGATATCTCAACCAGAAGTAATTTAATAAATGGATTTAACAGTATAAATTTCTATTATATAATCAATGTTTGTTTGTAAAGGTCTTATATCCCTATATAATTATTATTTTGGTTGGGACTTAAACTTTATAAATGTTAGTTTAATTAGTTTAATTAATATATATCAAATAATTAGTATAACTGTACTACTTTACTGCTTATAAAAATGTATAAAAACATATTATTTTCCACAGTGATCCCAATAAATTAGAAAATGATATAGATATTGAAGATACACCTGAAAATCAATCCAGAATCCGGACAAGAAAACGTCTTCAAAGGAGGCAGAAACAGAAGATAAAATCTTTAGTTGAGAAACATAATACTAATCCCAATAAACAAAATCAATCAACTCCAAATAGTGTAGAGTATGTATTCAAATAATAACAATAACACGTAATAATTTATTAAAAATACAGTTGTTTTCATATTACTTTAAAGGCCATTCTTATATCATAAAGATTTTTATCCTAATTATATGCAGTTTGATGATGTGAAAAAAGGTTTAGAAAGTGGCAAACTTTTTGAAGGACATATACGTATTAGTCAAAAGTGTCCCACAGAAGCATATGTTCCTTCACCGGTGAGAAATCATTGTGAAATATTTGTTTATAATCTTCTAATTATAATATTTTATATTTTATAGGATAAATCAAAGGATATATTGATAAATGGCGTTAGAACTCGAAATAGAGCTCTAGATGGTGATAAAGTTGTTGTAAAGATACTAGGCAAATCTGACTGGAGGGTATTCCATTTTACATTATTAAAATATAATAACTAGGGCTCAGAAGTTGATGCATTTTGCATTTTTTTTTGGAACTTTTTAGACAATGCTCTCCTGGCCACAAATCTGTTTCATAAGCATGTGAATATAAATAACTAATTTTTATTTTGCATTTTTTTTCATTTTTTGGTGTTTATTACTTTTTAAGTCATTTTTTGAGATTTATAGGTCATTTTCCAACATTTTTAGTTATTTTTACTGATTTCACACTAGTTCATTTCTTATCGTTTCTTGTCGACCATTATGCCGATAACTTAAACCACAGACTAAGATTAGTATCTATCCAATTTTATCTCAACGATTTCAGTCTTCGCGTCGTTGTCATGTAAAAGTGAATAATAATATACCTACATTTTATTATTTTTCATAATATTTTTGAAATGCCGAAAATTAAAACTTCGGTTAGTGCTCGTCTGCGTGCATTTGTGTCGGAATTCGACGACAATATTTTTTCTTCCGATGGCACAGTTTTTTATTGTMAAGTATGTGAAGTAAAGGTGGCCTCAGAAAAAAAATTTACTATTGAACATCACATTTCCCGTATAAAACATAAAAATGGTATAGAGCGCAAACATTTAAAACAAAGTCAGTTTTCTTACTATGTCGTTAAAAAAATTTACTTTTAATTATGATTTATGTCAAGCTCTTTTATCAGCCAATATTCCCCTACACAAAATATCAAATGAATTATTCCGTGCATTTTTGGAAAAATACACGCACAAAAGTATTCCTGACGAATCAACGCTAAGGAAAACCTATGTTGTTCAATGTTACGAAGACTGTATTAACAAAATAAGAAGTTATTGCAAAAGCCAAAAGCTATGGGTTTCTATAGACGAAACCACGGATTCATTATGACGGTATGTGGCTAACGTGATTGTCGGTACATTGAAAGTCAGAGGCCCGGGAAAATATTTTTGCTCAATTCAGAAATTTTAGAAAAAGCTAACCATACCTCCATCGCCAAATTATCAGATACATCTCTACAGATTTTATGGCCCCAAGGAATAAAGCATGACAATATTTTTTTTTCTTAAGTGATGCCGCTCCCTACATGATGAAAGCTGGCAGAGGTCTAAAAATCCTGTACTCTAAAATGGAACACGTAAGTTGTTTGGCCCATGGATTACATAGGGTTGCGGAAGAGATTCGAAAACACTTCCCAAAAGTAGATCAGTTAATATCGAACATCAAAAAAATATTTTTGAAATGTCCATCACGTGTTCAATATTTCAAGGAAATGGCAMCTAATATTCCTCTACCACCACAACCGGTATTGACAAGATGGGGTACCTACATGGTTAAAAGCTGCTTCTTATTTTTGTGAACATTTTGAAATTTTGAAAACTATTATTATGGGACTAAACAAAGATGATTCTTCGTCAGTTGAAAAAGCACGGGATCTTATAAGCGATGATAAGGTAAAACATAATTTAATTTACATTAACGCAAACTTTGGAACTCTGGCCGATTCTATTACCAAGTTAGAAACTTCAGGACTCAGGCTTTATGATTCAATACAAWTTGTACAAGATATTTTAATTAAAATTGAATCAGCAGCAGTTAATAGAATTGGAAATGAAATAAAAAACAAATTTAAAGCGGTACTTGCCAAAAATACTGGATTTCAAACGATGTCAACAATTTCTAAAATTTTAAATGATGAAGAAGCTTCAAGTGAGTGTTTTCCGGATGATTTCAGTGCTGATGATTTGGTCCATTTCAGATTTGCCCCAATCACTTCAGTAGACGTAGAGAGAAATTTTTTTCCAATTATAAATATTTATTAACAGATAATTGTCGTTCATTTACTTTCGATAACATAAAATACACTCTTCTAATTGTACAATGCAATGATTTTGATTTTTAAATAATTTGTAAGCATTGATAAATTTATAAAACAAATATTTTAAATTTTTTAATTTTCCTATTTTAAGGACAATTTTGTCATTTTTATGTCATATTTTGAATTTTATAGCAAAATAGAGTAAAATATTTAAAAAAAATGTAATTTTATTAATATAAAACTAATATTTGTAATTTTTTTAGGACATTTTTGCCATTTTTTATTGTTATTAAGGTTATCAACTTCCGAGCCCTTATAATAACCCGCCTTAAAGAAATAAATGTTTATATTTTAATCTGTTTATTATAGAACCCAGATTCAGAAGATTGTCAACGAACTGGCTGTGTGGTTTACATAACAAATTCTAAAGAGAATCGTATCATAGTAGGGTCCTTGATGGTTGATAGAGGTGTTATTCATCGATATAGTACATTAATTCCAAGAGACTGTCGATTTCCCAGATTACTTGTGGACACTTCAACTTGGCTGTTTCCAATTGATTTGAGGAATGGAACCAAAGAATCGAAAGAATTGTTTTATGCTGTTTTACCACACTGGGATAATTACAAGTTCCCAAAAGGGTATAATGCTTGTGCATCTTACACAGTGTCGGCCTGGCCATGGCCGCCAGGCCGCAAACGCATCCGGGGCTCCCGGCCGTATTTGTGTCGAGGGGCCCTGATATTACTAAAAATATAATATTTCACTACTAATAAGCATTTTTATCATTTTTATTTAATAACATGTTTGGGGGGCCCTTCTGAAGAAACGCATCTGGGGCCCTTTAAGTACCAGGCTGACACTGATCTAACATATTGSGATGTATAATGCATTACATTATTTTGTGTATATACTATGGTTTCTAGAATATTAAAAGGAGTTTTGGGCGAATCAGGACAAATAAAAGCTGAAACTGAAGGTATACTGATCACTCATGATATAGAAGAACATCCATACCCAGAAGATATAGATCAATATTTTCCACCACTTTTTTCTGTTGAAGAAGAATTGAAACACAGAAAAGATTTTAGGTATTTCACTTGGTCTCATAAATGTAATATAGATGTATAGAGATAAAAATTTGTTTATTTATTCTGCAGGAAACATTGCATTTTTTCCATTGATCCCCCTACCGCCAAAGATCTAGACGATGCTCTTTCCTGTGTACCACTGCCAAATGGTAATTTTGAAATTGGTATTCACATATCTGATGTGACTTATTTTGTTAAACAAGGAACACCATTAGACGAAATTGCAGAAAAATTGGCAACTAGTGTTTATTTAGTACAAAAAGTATGTGTTGAATGTTCATAATTTTTTCTTGCACTCAAGAGTTAATTCAAACAATATTGTATTATTTAATGACAACAGGTGTATCATATGTTACCTCCAGCATTGACAATGATGGCGTCATTATTACCAGGAACTGATAAACTAGCTGTCTCTATTACTTTGGAAATGACACCCGATGCTAATGTGATTAGTCACTCTTTTAGTCAATCGATTATACATTCTTGTGCCCAATTGCATTATTCACATGCTCAAGTATGTTTTTGTTCTTATATTATTATTAACACTTAACATGTTCAGTGCAGATGATGCCAAATGGTCTCATTTTTCATTATTTGCAATTTGCAAATGCTGAATGACATCAATTGGTGTCATGTGTTATGTTATTAAAATGCTCTACAATTGGTCAGCKTTTCATTTAATTTTTTTATTTTTGTTAGCATCTTTTTTTAGAATTTGCTATGGACATATAACAATTTTTCAATTTTTAGGAATTTGTTTTTTAACCCCAATTTTGTCAGTATCTTGACAATATATTTAATTTTCTGTATCAAACGTGTTATGTAGTCAACTTTCAGAATTTATCTTAACTTAGTATAAAAAATTAGTGTACAGATAATAATTTGAGAACTTTTATGTTTTAGATATTCTTAGAAAATCCTGATAAAAAAGATTGGGATGAATCTGAGTTTCCTACTGTGTATAATGGTTATACAATCAGTGACTGTGCAACAGCTGTTAGCCATTTACATAAACTAGCGACAGTGATGCGAAAGAGACGTTTTGACACTGGTGCACTAGCAATCAACCAACCCAAGTTGTCTTTTGACATAGACAGAGTTACATGCGAACCATTGTCGTATTCCTTGTATATACTCCATGAGAGTAATTGGTTTGTCAATAGTACTCTTATTTTTTTTATTAGAAAATCAATTGTTTTCTCTTTATAATACAGGTTAATTGAAGAATTTATGCTTCTTGCTAATACAATGGTCGCTGAACATTTGAAGACTCACTTTCCAACTACAGCTATGCTTAGATGTCATCATGCACCCGATGTTGCTCCTATGGAAAAAGCAGTGAAAATATTGAAAGTACATGGCATTGATATTGATTTCACTTCAGCTGGATCAATTCATAAGTCTAAAGCTATTTATTGCCAAGGTGAAAATTCAAAGAATTCTCATTGGGACATTATTATTAACAACATTCTATCAAAACCGATGGTTGTAAGTAAAAAATAATAATATTAAGTCAATTTCATTATTTAAAATTCAAAAAAAAATGTTGAAAACATGGTTTTTATTTCTAGCGTGCCGAATACTGTGTTATTGATCCAGACAAATCCATGTCTCATTTCGCACTCAATGTACCGTATTATACACATTTTACCTCTCCCATTCGTAGGTATCCAGACATAGTTGTGCACCGTATGCTTATATCATGGTTAACAAACAAACCAATCAAGGAATACGAAGACCCAAAAGTCATTGAAAAGTAACGTTTACTTTGATTGACTCCATTGCCGATAACTWATCAATTATATTTCATTACAAATTTAGGATAGCTATCAACAGCAATGATAAAAAGAATAACGCGAAGAAAGCGTCAGAAGCTAGTGCAGATATTTATGCTGCATGTTTGATTGGTAAACTGGGTGGCCTAGAAGTGGATGCATCCATAATGGAAGTAAAAGAAAACTATTTYGAAGCCACAGTCCTCTCAATGAACATGAACACTAGAGTTTATGTAAATATTGTGAGTGTAGTTGTTGACTAAATAAGATATCTTTTATTAATTTATCATAAGATAATATACTAGTTTATTTTTATTTTTTTTCAGTCTCCAAATAACCCAGACTTGCAACACAGATTCTGTAAGTTCTCAATTGTTGACAATAAACCAACATTAGTTATTTGGTGGGATCTCAAAGGTGAAAACAAGCAAACTCTTCAACTTTTTGACAAAGTGAAATTAAAGCTGACAAAAAGGGAAAATTGTTTGAAACTAAGAGCCATTTTGATCAGAGATGAATACAATTCTTATTATTGTGACTCATTACATACTGAAATTAGTATGTAATATGTATTTGAATTAATACTTTTTTTTTTTTATTATTATTATTATTGTTTTGAAGTTTTAATGATAAGAAATGTTGTTTATTAATATAATTTTTATCAATAAATACATTTTTATACTTTTGACTTTCATGTGTAAGGTTAAATCAACATCAATATATTATTAACACACATTTTACGCTGGGGACAGTACAGAGTAATTAATTTATATATTATATTTTTATTAAGTTGAATAACATTTAAAATAGCATAGGTTATTTTAGAGTATATAATAAATATTATATAACTTAAAATATGTAATATAATAATATTATATATATATATATATATATATATATATTACATAATAATTAATATATCATATAAATATATTGAAGTTAAAAAAAAAAAAACAAACAAATATCTTACACAAAAGTTTATACAAATAATAATATAATAATAATTAAGACATAAAACAATTCACCATAGTATGATAGTTTACTAATTTTGACCTGAAACCGTAGTTGTATGGTTATAATTCACAAGTCTTCTACCCACTAAATATTTATCATTTTTAATATGTTCGTAGAGTCTTTTAAATTGACGCACTTGCATCATCATCCCCTTAATAATGGCCATTGTGAGCATAAGTGTGGGATATATTCTTCTAGCAATCAGTAGTCGTGTACCATGATTTTTAACGATTAGCGGTATTACAGAATATGCAATTACATATGGTACAGCTAGGAACAAACTGAGAACAGCAATTACAGGTACAGCTAGGTCTTGCATCATTAACTTGAGGTCCAAACGCATGAAGCCGTCTCTGTATGTGCGTTCTATAGCTCGCCTTAGAGACCAATCGGGTCCCATAAGGGTAATGGCGCACGCAATTTTCATATATAAAACTCCCAGTGCCCAGTCTTGCCACGCCCAGAGTACAGGTGTCTGATGTAAAGGCACTCGGAACGGGACTACCATTACAAGTTCTAAGAGTAGACCAAATAAAAATGGTATTATACCGAGTAGCACGATAAAAGCAACCATTGCTTTTGAACTAATTTTTAGCCAAAATTTTAATCGATTAATGACAACGGCACGTCCTTCTGGCAGCCATCCTGCTATAAAACAAACAGCTCGCACCGATAACCAACATATATATGTGCCACATGCTGCAGTATACAGTTCATGTATGTTTGGCAACTGAGATGGTTCTGGGGCAGACGGGAGTAATGCTGGCCAAAATGACATGGCCAAACGACCCAACCACACAGGTATTGTTATGATCGATAAACTGATTACTACTACAGATAGAGCAACTAGGACAAGTAAGACAATCAGACGTATAGCAAAATTWGTTGGCCGGGTGTAAGGTCGAAAACCTACAGGTCCACCACGTCTTAACAATCCCTCATGAGCTGCTCCCAAATCAGCAGCAGGTGGATGTATGGGTGCCACAACGGGAGGCAATTCTTCCCCATCACCAAGTAGATATGATTTTATTCCAAGCAAATGTGAGACAACAAGACACCAGAAACGAATGCCCATTTTCAGCCAGTTGCGAGTGTGTGTTTGTTCCAGTAGGGCTGGTAATACAACCTGGAGAAGTAATAGCTCCATGGACAATTCATTAACAGAATCGCTGTGCAAAGTTACATTGTAAGGTAAGAATGATGGCCAAATAAATTTCAGAATTCGTATTGGTAGCCATACAACAAGAAACACAGCTGTACCAAATATCATAGCTGACGCAATGAGTCTTCGCCCATGTTGCAACATGCCTTGTTGTATTAATTCCTAAAAAAATTAAATGCATGAGCATCAAATAATCGTTAATTGTTTACATGAATATAATACTTGTATAGGACTGAAATCTGGATCGTTTAAATTTCGCAAGAACCATAATACACCAGGTCGGACAACTTCTCGAAGGAGTAGTACAAATGAAGCAAAATAATACACATACACCATTCCAACCAGCCAATGGATGAACATTGAGGTACCAGGAGCCAAACGGAAACTTGCTAGCCTATCTTTGAAACTTGTGTCAAACATTGACAATGAACATATATCCAACCACCAACCACATACTAATGGTAACACACCAATTTCAACAACAGATAACAGGGACACCTAATAAAAACAAATAAATAAAATCAATAAACAAACATTTAAAAGTGTTCAAATAAATTAAAAGTTTAGTATGCTCACTTTTACAACAATATAGCTAAGTCCAATTATACGTTTGGATCGTCTAAATCCTACAATTGTAGCAAAGGTGTGCATGATCAACAAACACATACCAATGAGACAGTATCCGCATAATGTGGTGACCAAACCTTCAAAATGTGAAGCAGCTACCTTATCTTGTAAAGCCATTGCAGTAATTGCCAGATTACCCATTTGGTATGGACAAAATGCAAACACCAATATAAATAATGCATTCATAGATACCACCCAAAATACATGTTCTAAAAACACCAATGAACCATCCAATCCTAAAAGTCGTTCCCAAGTCAAATCTTCAGCAGCTCGATCACCCCAATCTATCGGATTCCAATGTCCTTCATCTACTTGATTTCCATTTTCTTGACGAAGYTCTCCTTCAATCTATTAAAAATAATTTTTAAAATATAGCTGTTTAGAATATTTAGCACAAGATATATTAGGTACCTCTTCAACGGGATTTTCTTCAGGAATGGGAGGCAGCAGTACATTAAGTTGTTGTTGATTATTAGGTTCATCTCTCTCTAACCAATCTGGACCACCGCCATGCAATATTTGTTCACGTAGCCAAATTAATCCAATAAATGCAAACAATGTGCAAGTCACAACAAAACAGCCATGGAATATATCCCCAGAAATGTTTTTTGATGACCACATATCAAGAGGCAATGACATTACCTACATTTGTTTAAAAAAAAAGGAAAATAATATACTATAATTTTAATTTTAGGATTTATTTATTAAATCACTTACAGCATCAAAAGAACCATTAAAAAGGCTTCGGTAAATTCTACATGCTGTAAAAGGTACAACGCATAGCCAAGCCAGTCCAACTAAAGTAAAATGCAACCAATATTTTATTCCAGTTAAAACACTTGAAGTAATACCAGCAGCGACATCTTTTATCGGTAATCGTCGAGGCATGTCTGGAGCATAGATGGGYGTGAATGAAAATCGATAGCTACAAAGCTCACAATACTCTTTACGGCTGTAACGCATCCATTGTACCAAGCACTCTTGATGAATATACTTAATACTGCCTGTACATATGCAAGGATGAAACAATGGTCGCTCTGGCATGCCTTCCGATCGGCACACTCTGCATATGTCCGCCCCTTGAGAGGGGTCGTCCATATTATCCATCTTGCAGTAGCAAATGGAATACTATTCTATGAATCTAAAACGGAATAAAAAAATACAATTTAAAAAAACAAAACAGTAAATAAATAAATATGATTAGTAATTTTTTAACTGAAATAAAATTTAATAATACCTAAATGATACTGAATAATGTTATCAGTAATTTTTTTTAACCAACAATTTTTACATGGGTAATAGATACACAAATCCCAAACATAATAATGTAAAATAAACTGATAATAACAAAAAACAATTAGTTGCCTTATTAGTTATTAGTTTATTACTTATTATGATGACTATTAAAGATATTATTATAAAAAAACACATTATTATAATCTATGTTATTATACGATGGTAGGTAGTAAGTACAATTATCTAAAAATGCCTACTAAATTTATCAGTTAAGAACTCAGACAAAATAATAAATTAATACATTCAAATTGATAATTTATATACATAGGTATTTAATGATATAGAAGGTAATGTAATTAAATATAAATATTTAGGTAAGAATTTAAATTGCTGCCAAGAGTGCCAATAATATTTGCTAACATACCTCTTTAATTCTTATATATAATTTTGTMTTCAATCACAGCAAACTTAGGGAAAGTTAATAATCTATTAAAGCAAAAAGATTTTAATATTTATATAAAATAAATTATAGGACTATACATGTGTATCTATTGCTTTATAATTGCAGAGCTAAATTAAGAAAAAATAAAAAATTATAGGACTAAATTTAAAAAAACCAATTTTTAAAAGGAACGGAAGAGTTGAAGATTTAGAGAAAATAAAATTTATTACAAGTAGTTACTAAAACTAAATATATRTGTATTACCAGTAAGAAGCATTTATAATGATAGAAAATAATATTTTTACAATTTTACCTAACTTAATTGTTTTTGTTTAGGTAATTGTGCCAAAGTTACATTAAGTGTTGTATGTTAGAAAATAATCATAACCAGTATTAGTAACTTGTGCAGATAAATGCATATAAAACCAAAGCACTTACGTAGGTGCTTACTATAACAGGTGTCTAACATAAAATATATACTTATGTAACATTATTTAACAATAACTTGTCAAAAAATGAATTATTATTTAGTTTATAATTTTCTTATTCATACAGACAAAAATAAAGTGCTTATACCTCAGTTTTTTTCTATCGTATATATATTATAGTCTTACATATTACATAACTAACATAATTAATAACTCCCATAGGAATATTAATAGTCTTCAGTATTGACAATATTGTAAAATACACCAAGTGGAATTAGAATTTAGATTATGGGTATATAGGTATTTATAAGTTGCTGATTAGTCATTTTCTATAACTTAAATATTGTTCCATACTGATGACTATTTATTAATTAATATAGATTTTAAATATATCTCAAGGAGTTTAATAAATATAATTTATATAAAGATTATATTAATGAAAAATATAGTATTCAAGTTTTCTTAATTAATGTCTCATTAACAGGTGATGGGTACAAAAAAATTAGGGTCAACAACAAATTTTAAAAATCTAAGTCTTTATTGTATGTTATAAACTTAAAACATTGAAAAAAATATTTTATATTCAATATTATTTACTGTTGTAGTGATGTTATTTATCTTAAACCTACTATATTATTTTACTCGCCCACATGAAGTATGTGTTCGGCACCAGTG